TTAGGCAGTTGACACTTTTTATTATTGTTCTGTATTTGCATGAGCATATGGAGTCATTTTGCTCTTTCCACTTTTATATGGGTTCTGGGTATTGAATAGAGGTGGTTGGTTTGTACAGCAAGCACTCCACCACAGAGCCATCTTGCCAGCCCAGGAAGATGACACCATACTAAGATTCACACCATATTAAGGACAGTTCGGGAGAAAGTGCATGCAGGTTCATCTAAAAAGTAGGACCATGTAGGGGACATTTTCAGTCATCAAAGTTCTGAAGACTCTGAAGAACAGTCTTAGAAATCAAGATGCAAACAGAACAGTGGCCATGACACTGTAGATGTACTTGTAGTTGGAATGGAGTATTCAAAATCATTTTATTTTTAATTTTATTTTCTGAGATAGAGAGGCATCCTACAGAGTTTGTGTGGTGGTCAAGACAATTTTCAGGAGTCAGTGCTCTCCTTCCACCATGTAGGCTCTGAGGATTTAGCTCATGTACTCAAGCTCGGTGGCAAGTACCTTTGCCAGATGAGCTACCTCACCATCCCTAGAATGTAGTCTTGACTGGGTATCTTAAAATGAATCAATGGCTTCTTAGAGCAACTGGACGTGAGGTGAAATCTTACTCAATGACCCTGAGGGTTTGTTAAATATTAGCAGCTATCGTACTGACAGCTTCCATAATCAATAGTCAACTATATTTAAAGGCTAATGTTGTAATTATAATCATATGAAGCTACACAATGAATATGTAAAGTTATACATAGGATATGTAATACACTGTAGTTAACAAGATAAAGATGATGTACAATTACATTTAATGTAGAACATTGCATTGTATCCAGGTTAGCCCCCAAAATATTGTTTTGAATTTTAGATCCTTAAATTTTGGCACAGTGTTTGTGCAGGTAATCTAAACTTTAGGAGGTATAACAGTCAAGATCACTAGAAGCATAACTTTGAGGATAAAATCTGGTACCCAGGCTCTATTTTAGGTTTCCTGTCTTTCATGAGAGGAAAGACCACTGCCACACTATTCTGCTATCATGCCCTAGCACTTTATAAGTGCTAGAGACCAGAATCATAAAACATATATGCACAAACGTGTCACTGAGATACAGTCCCTCCTTCAGTCCCTGGAACTGTATACATAGTACAGATACGAAGTTATGCTGAGTCCTATCAAGGCAACACAAAATTCTACTATCCATAGAGCATATTTGGAGATATCACAGGCACTTTCAAATGTTTAAAGCATGACTGACCTCTGTGTAGGAGATTCAGTCTCAACAAGGAAGCTTCAGTGATGACAGCAAATTCATCAAGGTATTGCCCAATAGATATTGGCAAGTAAGAATATTGTTTCTTTACTGCTTACAGTTTAATACCTTAATTTCCAATAGCCCATTTAACAGTTCCATTTAAAAAATAACATGAAACTTATGTACATTGACATTTGATCAATTTTATAATATAAAAAATTTGATATTTTTATGTCAGCTGTGGTGGTGCATGCCTTTAATCCCAGCACTTGAGAGGCAGAGGCAGGCAGATCTCTGTGAGTTCAAGGCCAGCCTGGCTTACATAGCGAGTTCCAGGCCAGATGGGGCTACAGGGAGACCCTGTTTCAAAAAGAAAAAAAAAAAATTGATTTTTTGAATGTGCATGTTCTGTATATATGTGTCTGGGAGTGCATGCTGATGAGAGCTTATGCAGGGGCCAGAAAACAGATGTCCTCCTCTGTTGATGTCTGCCTTATTTTCTTCCTTTTTAAAAATATTCTTTTATTTTTTATGTGTATATTTTATGTGTATATTGCCTGCATGTATATAAATGCACCCATGTCATGCAATGCCTGCAGAGGTCAGAAGAGTGACAGATGCCCCTGGAACTTGAATTACAGACACTTATTAGCTGCTAAGCGTGTACTGAGAATCAAACTCAGGGTCTCTTGAAGAGCATCTAGTGCTCTTAACCACTGAGCCATCTCTCTAGCCCCTGCCTTATTTTCTTGATAGAGATTCTGATTGAACCTGGAGCTCACTGTTTTTCACATAGGTTGGTTGGCCAATGAACCCATGGTTCCTTCCTGTCTCTAGCCTCCCCTAAGTACTGGAGTCAAAGACCGATCCTTTTCACACAGGTGCACAAGATGGGAATACAAGTGCTTCTGCTTACAGAGCAGGTGCTCTTGCCCAGTGAGTCATCCACAGCCCATGCTTTATTTTAGTGAAGATGTTCACATATTAATGAAATTTATAACTAGGCATGGTGACACATGCCTCTAATCCAACCAATCAGGGGGATGAAGTAGGTGGTACATGTATATGAGGACAGTCTGTGATATGACACAAGTTGTATGGGTTAGAGATCAAGACCTTGTCTGAAAAGTAAAAAGTTATGAAAATTTATTTCACTGTATACAGAGAAATGTCCTTGTTAAATAAGGGATTCTAAATTTGCTACAGTTTCCTATGACTGATTTTATTTACAGCTGATCCATAAGCATAAATGTTCATGATAAAAATAACAGAGGAACTGTTAAATACAGACACACATTTCATAAGCACACAGTTACCAAACCATATCATAAGACCACCTAACTCCTTTTTTTGAAATGTATTTTTATTTTGGTTATGAGTGTTTGGCTGCATGTTTGTATGTGCACCACATATGTGCCTGATGCCCAAGGCAAAAAGAGGGTGTCAGATACCCTTGAACTTGAGATACAGATGGTTGTAAGCTGTTGGATCTTGGTCCTCTGCAAGAACAGAAAATGCTCTTAACAGCTGAGCCATCTCTCAAGCCCTTCTTACTTCTTTAATTTTAAAAGTATTCTTGGTCCAGCAAGATAGCTCAATGGATAAGCATGACTGCCACCAAGCCTCATGACCTTAGTTTGATCAGCTGGACATACATAGTGGAAGGAGAGACTCAACATCACTGAGTTATAAGGCCTCATTCTCTCTCTCTCTCTCTCTCTCTCTCACACACACACACACACACACACACAAACACACTCTCATGCACACACTAAATGTAATAAGAAGGTTTAGTTTTTTTAGAGAAGTTCTTTGGGGCTGGAGAGATGGCTCAACAGTTGAGGGCATTTGGTCCTCTTGCAGAGGACTTGGTTTCCAGCACCCAATTGGATGGTTCACAACCACCTGAAACTCCAGCTCTGGGAGACAACACCCTCCTCACACACCTGCATGCATGTGTGGATATACACAAAAATATACACAAATAATGAAAAATATAAATCATTTTTTAAAAAAAGAAAAAGGGCTCTCACATGTCAATTGATGACAGGTAATACGGGACTGTGGGTGGAAATTTTTTTATAATCCATTTACTGATAGGATTTATTGATGAATCATTGTAAACAGCAACATATTTTCATACACTGAACTCCTCTACTTAATCACCTCTGTTGAGTTTCTTATGCAAGTTGAGATTCAATTTAAAGGTTTTAGTACTCTTTATATTCTTATGGTATCACAGAAATAGGATTCAAATGTAAGAAGTGACACTTTCATCTTATTGTTTTTACTTATATGAAATATTGCTATGTTGCTCAAGCTATCCTTTAACTCCTGTTTCAACCTGTAACATGAGGTCACAAATTTGGATTAAAAACATGTGTTAAAATACCTCACTAGATGACTTTCTATACGTGTTATCTCACCTACCTGAAGATTATAATGTAAAGGCCTGATTTGTCTTTCAACAAGTGCCTATTTTCATTACTTTTATTCCTTCCCTCACCTGTATGAATTTTCAGAAGAGTAGTAATGGTACTTTATGTACTTCAGAAAGCTGTCTTTTCTTCTTTACATTTACGGTGTTACTGACCTGTACATATACTGATTTCACCTGAGGTAAGAAAAAGCTTAACTACATTCTGAAATACATAGTTTTTCACATGTATGACTTGCCATATGTAGAGAAAATACTGTAGTGCAGTACAAAGGTTTCCAACAATCCTTTTTTTTTTTGGTTTCCAACAATCTCTACAGACAAGTTTCTCATGCCTATATGTGTTCACTGATGTTAACAGAATTATAGTCCAAAGTTTTCAGACATTCTTTATATTCAGCAGTCTCTTCTGCATGCATTGACTGAAAATTAAATAATGACTGGCAGTAGTAAGCTTTCATGCATTCTTCACATTCTTGGGTTTTCATATCTATGAGAACCATGATGCTGAGTGAGGTGTGGCTTGCAAGAGAAATATTTCATGAAATCTATTACATTCAAAAGTCTTCTCACTTATATGAGTTCTTTGATGTGCAGTGAGCTCAGATTTTCTGTACAAGACTATTGTGCAATGTTTACATTCATAACACTTCTCATCTTTATGAGAGTGAGTTACCTGATGTCAATTAAGGTTTGACTTACAGGAGAAAGCTCTTTTGCATTTTATACATTGATAGGGTTTCTCATCTGTATGTGTTCTCAGATGTAGAACGAGATATGACTTACAGTAGAATGTTTTCCTGCACTCGGTACACTAATAGGGATTCTCAACTAAGTGAGTTATTTGATGTTGAAACAGGTGTGCCTTGCTGTGCAAGGCTTTTCCACACTGTGTACATTCATAGGGCTTCTCACCTGTGTGAGTTCTCCAATGCACAGTGAGCTGAGACTTGCTGTGGAAGTCTTTTCCACACTGTGTACATTCATAGGGCTTCTCACCTGTGTGAGTTCTCCAATGCACAGTGAGCTGAGACTTGCTGTGGAAGTCTTTTCCGCACTGTTTACATTCATAAGTCTTCTCATCTGTATGAGTTCTCTGATGTACAGTGAGGTCAGACTTGCTGTAGAAGGCTTTTCTACATTCTGTACATTCATGTTTTCTGACCTCTATGACTTCTTTGATGGACTGTGAGGTATGACTTGTGGGTGAAAGCTTTCCCACATTCTGTACATTTGTAGGGCTTCTCACCTGTATGAGTTCTTTGATGCAGAGTGAGATTTGACTTATTATAGAAGGCTTTACCACACTGTTTACATTCATGTGGCTTCTCACCTGTATGAGTTCTCTGATGCATAGTGAGACAAGACAACCTATTAAAGGCTTTTCCACACAGTTTACATTCATGGGGCTTCTCACCTGTGTGAGTTCTCTAATGCACACTAAGGTCAGACTTGCTATAGAAGGCTTTTATACACTCTGCATATTCATATGGCTTCTGAGCTTTATGAGTTCTCTCATGAACAGTGAGGTGTGACTTGCAAGAGAAAGTTTTTGAGCATTTTGTACATCGATAAGTTTTCTCACCTGTATGAGTTCTCTGATTCACATTCAGATCAGATGTTGTATAGAAGCCTTTTCCACACTGTTTACATTCATAAGGTTTTTCATCTGTATGAGTTATCTGATGTTGAGTGAGCAGTAGTATCTTTTCCCACATTCTATACAGGCATAGAAATTCTTGCCTGCATGCCTTCTCTGGTGCACAGTGAGATAGGAGTTGCTGTAAAACACTTTACTGCACAGTTTACATTCACAGGCCTTCTCACTGGTATGAGTTCTCTGATGTACAGTTAGGCATGACCTCCACAAGAAAATATTTCTGTATTCTTTACACACAAAGGTTACCTCCTTTCTGTGAAGCCTCTGATATTTGCTGAGAGCTGATTTATAATTGAAATCTTTCTTACATGTGTGAGGAATATGACTTCTCATGTGGTGTGACTTCTGGTACATCTTCATACATCCTTCATAGGATTGTGTCGGCTGGTGAATTTTCTGTCCCACTTTTAGTTGGACCTAGATATAGAAGAATTGGTTATATTTCTTATAACTATGGAGCTTTCTGGTATTGGTTAAGTGTAATTTACTCAATCGATCTTAACTTCTCATTGAGTCTAGAGATGCTAATTTGGATAGACTGCATGGCCAGGGATCTTGATCTCTCCATCCTCAGAGCTCTAGATTTATAGATGCATACTAATAAGACCAGTTGTATACATGGGTGCTAAGGATCTAAAATCAGGTCCTCATACTTGCAAGACAAAAACAATTTACTAGTTGAGCCACCCCTCGCAACCCCACCCATTAGATAAGCTGTTGAAAAAACATCCAGATTTGAAATATGTTACAAGCTCACACTAAATGTTTTACTTACTTCAACAATGTCTTCCTTGAATGTCTTGCTGTTGATGATTCTAACTTGCTCCAAATGTCTCTTGTGATTTTACTGGTTGGTCTCAATCCAGGTAGTCAATTTTTGGACATCTAAAATGATATAAACATCACTATCCATTAATCACTCTTAAATTTGTATGCAACTAAAAAATTAAAATGTGCCCCTTAATTAATCCTCATAGAAGTTGTAATACAATATTGACATAATAAGGTGCACATTTTAGTTCTATAGGACTATAAAAATGGTACTAGTATATATTGCAGAGCTAAGTCATATCTCTGTTGCTTTATTTTACTCGATAGAAGGACATGGAGATAATATATATTTAAATATTGCTCAACTGTAGGTTCCTATAGTCATTTTTACCTGCTATTTTCCCCTTTGTTCCATTTCTCTACTATAGTAACTATACATAGAACACCATCCTACATCACACCACTTTCATATATGAAATAAGATTTTCTTTAATTAGCTCAATTTAGGATGCAGGCATAGTCAATGATCTCTTTCCTAAGCAAGCATACCAAGAGGGAAACAATTCCTATACAGGTGTATTTAAAGGTTGACAGTGAAACAAATACTACAAGGGTTTTAAATAACTCATCTTCCTCCCAACGTAGAATTCTCAAAATTCTTTCTTTAATGCATCTTATGTTTTACCTATCTCATCAACCTCTTAAGTGACTGTTAGTCACCATTTGTATGCTGGGAACTAAATTTGTTCCTCTGCAAGAGCAACAAGTGGTTTTTTGGTTTGTTGATTTGTTTGTTTTTTGGGTTTTTTGTTTGTTTTTGTTTTTTAATAGAAGGAAGAATTTATTTGAGATTACAGTTCCAGGGGAATTACAGACCGTCATGGCAGGGAGGCATGGTGGCTGGAGCAGAAGCAGCAGAAGCTAAGCTCTCACATCATCACGCAGGCACAGGAAGCAAGAGAGCAACTGGAGATCTGGCAAGGGTTAAGAACTCTCTAAGCCCTCCCCCAGTGACATGCTTCCTCCAGGATAGCCACACCTTCTAAGACCTCCCAAAACAATGCCATCATGTGGGACAAAATGTCCAAATACTTGGAGCACATAGGGGACATTTTCATTCAAACCATCACATTCCACACCCTGGCAACCACAGGATCATGACCACATAAAATGCAAAATGTATTTGGTCCAACTTTTAAAGTCCCCATAGTCATTATCAGTCTCAATACTATTCAAAAATCCACAGTCCAAAGTCTATTCTGAGACTCAGGTAAATATCTGAACTGTAAGCAAAAAGTGTTCTTAACTGCTGATCAATTGCTCCAATTTCCTTATATGCTTACTTTAATTCACTCATGGACATACCCAGGAGCAGGATACCTACATCATACAGTAATTATATTTTTCATCTCTGAAAAAAAATGACATCCATCCTGGACAGCTCTACATTATCACTAATAGTGCATAAAAAGTCACCAATAGAGTATAAAAATACACCAGTAGTGTATCACCAAGTGTATAAAAGTATAAAATATTCTGAATGTGATTCTAAAGTTCAGTAAGTATCTGAGAAAGACTTTTTTCCTAATCTGTGTGCTAATTCTTCATTCTGCTTTTCAATTCGTTGCTGGGTAGAAACTTTATAATACAATACAGAGTTTTTAAATTTTTGTAGCTATTTTTCTTTGAGACAGTCTCATGTCTGGCATTGAACCCATTATGTAGTGGAAGATGACCTTTAATTCCTCCCACTCTGAAGATTACAAGAATGTACCACTATCTCCTGACAGATTTATCAATACATTAAATTAGAATATTTACATCCTATTCAGGAAGTCATTGCCCATTGTTTTATCTTCAGTTTTCCAAGGAAGGAGTTGCAGCAACAGGACTGCACTGAATTAAATATTTCAAAAAATTAATATCTTTCATTAAAAAGATATTTGGGGCCAGGCATGGTGGTGCAGGGCATTAAATCCAGCACTCGGAAGGCAGAAGCAGGCAGATCTCCATGAGTTTGAGAACAGCTCTGCTGGAACTGGAATTATAGATGGTTGTGAGCCATCATGTGGGTACTAGGAACCAAATGCAGATTGGGGGCAAGAAGAGCTAGTGCTCTTACCCACTGAACCATCTCTAACAGTTTTAACTGTATAACCCTTTCACTTACTTAGGAGTTTCTGTGAAAGTAGAATCACTTTTTCTAAGAGTATGATCCCACACTCTAGTGGATGGCCTGAAACCCCAGCCAGGAGCATATGGGCAGCACAAATTGGACACACTGGATTATTTTAAAGAAGAGATAAATTTGGGAGTAGAGAAATAGAAATGGAAATATAAGAAGTTAGGAGGAAGACTGGAGAGTGAATAAAAACAAAATACATAGAAATTCTCAAAAACTTAATAAAAACATTAAAAAATTAAAAATTAAAATAGATATGAAAGCTACTGATTTTTGCATGTTCGTTTTATAACTGGCTTTGTTTAAAGTGTTTATCAGATTTGAGAATGCTGAGGAGACGTCTTCCAAGTATAGGGTCATGTCACCTAAAAATAGAAATATCACTTCTTTCTTTCCTACTTGTATTCCCTGATTTTTTTTTCATTTGCTTTAGCGCTCTATTTTAACAACACTAAAGAAAAAGAGTGAACATACTTTATTATTGCTTATGTTACAAGAAATGTTCTGTGTAGGTAGAACATTCAATAGTTATTTATTATTACCACTTTGACCAGTTATGAATCTCTGCTGAAACCATAGCCCATTGTAAAAAGAATATTCACTGACCAAAACTGACAACAGAGGTAATCTATGGGCACAAACATGAATATTTACAAGGTAATTTGACAAGCACATATTGTCCATTTAGCAAAGCAATAGCAGTAGCTTCCTCTCTAGGTAGGGCTTATGACCATGCCAGGCACTGGATTACACCAGGTTTACAGTACTAGATGTGAATTCTTCATGTGGCCTGACTTTAATACAAACATAAAGTTGTTGGTTATACCCACAGTGGTCATGCCATCATTGACTATCTGACTTGGAATTGTAGGAAAAAGGGTCCATATGTGAGCAAGACTAAAGAAACTCTTCCCCTTTAGCTTTCATATTACCTTCAAGCACTACACAGGTAGCCAGCAGGGAAAAAGCTAACAGTTCAGTTCCACCTTGATTATTCTATTCTGCAACAAAGCATGTCGTGTCTTCAGGAATATGGTTTTACCATCTAGTTCTGGTAAGCAAGAAATGGCAGTGGCTATAGTCTGTGTTGTTTTAGTGAGCTCAATGTCCTCCCTGGGCAATAGCTCACTCCTAGCACTGAGATTTTCTTTTGATAATCTTATTTATTGACCTATTTCATAAGTGATCTGCTGAGGATTCAAAGTATATTGTTTAACCTTCATATATGTGCACAATTTAATTTCACTTGCTATTTCTACATTTATTCCAATCTCAATTTATGATATACAAAATTTTACCTTTTTTAGTTTTGTAAGATTTGCATAATGACTTCAATATGATCAGTTTTGTAGAAAAATTCTATAAGCTCCTGACAAGAATTTGCATTCCATGGCTAGTATACTACATATAATATAACTCTCCATTAAGCCCATTTGACTGTTGACACAGTTTATCTGTTTCTTTTTTTTTATTTCTGTCTAAATCTATCCTTTTATGAGTGCCATACTTACATTAACCACTACTGTAGTGTCTAGACCTATCTATGTTTTTGAGGTACAATGTCTGCTATAAAAACATGGAACCTTTCTGCCACTGCTGCCCTCAAGACACCCATAGAAAAGCTTGTGGCAAAGAGGCAAAAAATAATAATAAGAAGAATCAGGTTTTGAAGTTCGCCCTTGACTGCACCCACTCAGTAGAAGATGGAACCATGGATGCTACCAATTTCAAATAGCTTCTCCAAGAATAAAACTGAATGAAAAAGTGGGGGAATCTTAGAGAAATGGGTGTAAGCCTGGAGGAAGAACAAAATCACTGTAATTTCCAAGGAGATTTTTCTAATATGTATTTTAAATATTTCAACAAAAAAACATTTCAAGAATAATCTGTGTGATTGGTTACATGTAGCCACTACCAGCAAAGAGAGTTATTAACTATGTTACATCCACATTAGTCAGGTTAAAGGTTAGGAAGATGAGAATTAAAGCACACAGTCTGTCACTTCCTATCCCATAGACAGCCATATTCCTTCCACTGGGACCTCCCTCCTTCACACTGCCAGCTAGGTCCATTCCTTCCCACCCCAAAGGTTTGGCATGCCAGACTCCTTTGGGATGCCCTTTTCCTGTGCCACCAGACCTGCAGAACTCCCCCTCTGCCAGGCCACCAGGTAAGCCTGCTTCTTCCCACTCCAAAGACCTGCTGGCTTGCTTTGGGACTTTCCTTTGCCTGGACATCAGGTAAGCCTAGTCTTTCCTATCCCATAGACCAAAAGGACTTCTTTGGGACTTCCTCTCCCATGCTACCAGCTAGGTCCTCTCCTTCTTTCTCTAAAGGCCTACAGAGCTCCAGGAGAACTCCATTTTACCGAGCCACCAGTCCTGCCCAACTCCTTCAGGACTCCCTAGCCCCATACCACTACTCCTAGGCATACTCCCAAAGGGCTCTATGTCCTATTACAGAGATGCTTACCCATGTTCATTGCTGCTGTACTCACAATAGTCAGGAAATGGAAATAGAATAGATACTCACCAAATGATGGATCAATAATGAAAATGTGGTTCATATACATAGTACATGAACATAGTATATGTAACAAAAAAGATAAAATTAAAAAATTTGCAGGTAAATTGATGGAGCTGGAAATAATCTGAGTGAGGTAACTCAGACCCAGAAAGACAAATGCCACATGATCTCTGACATGCGGATGCTAGATTTGAATCTTAAGATATGTGCTTAAATTAGAGTACTTATAGAAGACACGAAAGTAGTAAGGGTCCATTGGGGGGAACAGGTTTCAAGGGAAGGATGACAAAACACAGGAAGTATAAAGAGGGAAAGGGGAGCAATGGAACAGAAAGGGTTAAATGGCATAAAGATGGAGGGCAGGGCAGAGGACAGAGTATAGGAAAGGATAACTAACACTGAAGAC